CTTGTAGCACGAGTCCACCTGCAACGACAAGCAGACGCCTTCAGCACACACTTGTAGCACGAGTCCACCTGCAACGACAAGCAGACGCCTTCAGCACACACTTGTAGCACGAGTCCACCTGCAACGACAAGCAGACGCCTACAGCACACACTTGTAGCACGAGTCCACCTGCAACGACAAGCAGACGCCTGTAAGAGAGAACAGACGCCTTTAGCACAAGACCACCTGGAGAGACAAGGCCGATAGAGATGATCCCCAACCAGCGGTTTAATACTTCCTACACTAGGAACATAATAGTCACATAACTGACCTGTCCACGTCGTACGACTGATCAAATCAACGTGGCGATAGGACGTTCTAAAAACATTGCTCAGTAACACCGTGCTGCTATGATACATCGTATGCACCCCAGGGAGGGGGGGGGTGCACAATTGTTTAAGTCACGTGGGGCATGGTTTGAGAGAGCGACAGCAAAACTCATGTGTAATGTGATATGCACTGAACTAAAAATGTACCTTACCGTCTCATGGATTGCAAGTGAATTTTGGAATTTTCAAGTAAAATCAAAATTCGGACAAGTAAAAATTCCTTCTTGTTGCCCGACAGGACAACCAAAGCTAAAAAATAAGGGTTGAGGGCTATACCTGGTCGCCAAAGAACAGTGAGCTTTGGTTGGCTGAGGACACCCAGTTCTCATAGAGATGCAGGTTTGTCTGTGTTGGCTTGATCAGGTAAAATATCTTCTCTCCCTGTGCATGGAAAATAAACAAGCACATAAATATGAGAAAATGTCATGAGGTGCGGAATAAAACCCGAGCCTAACTGTAAACTTCACTCTGAATCTCAATTCTAATCTTGAACGTAACCACAATCAAAACCCTTATCTCCAAGCTCTACTGTTAACTACGCCTAAAACCTAACCACTATCATCCTCTTCTTTTGCATGCATCCCTGCAGAGTAGGGAAGGGAAAGGAAAGAGGAGTAAGGTAGTGTGTAAAGAAGCCATGCAAGCCAAGAGATTAATCAAAGAGCAATGCACACCACACCTAACCTGATAAGCCCAATACAAGGACATCTACTGCACCTACACCCTGAGCAGCAGAGCCACTTCTCTTACACCTACCCTGAGCAGCAGAGCCACTCCTCTTACACCTACCCTGAGCAGCAGAGCCACTCCTCTTACACCTACCCTGAGCAGCAGAGCCACTTCTCTTACACCTACCCTGAGCAGCAGAGCCACTTCTCACACCTACCCTGAGCAGCAGAGCCACTTCTCACACCTACCCTGAGCAGCAGAGCCACTTCTCACACCTACCCTGAGCAGCAGAGCCACTTCTCACACCTACCCTGCAGAGCAGAGTCACTTCTAACACCTACCCTGAGCAGCAGAGCCACTTCTAACACCTACCCTGCGCAGCAGAGACACTTCTCACACATACCCTGCAGAGCAGAGTCACTTCTAACACCTACCCTGAGCAGCAGTCACTTCTCACACCTACCCTGAGCACGTGATACCACACGGAGGTTCCCCCGAAGTCGACGTGGAAGTCAGTGAAGCTATCCTTGACGCCCATGAGACAGTATTTCTGCACGGCGGGCCGCGCGTAGGGGCAGTCTTCCGGCAGCGGCTCGTGTCCCCACACGGTGTCCACCCAGCTCAGCTCACGCACGATGCTGGGTGGCTCCACCAGCTCTGATAGCCTGCAGAGAGAGAGAGGGTGAGAGAGAGAGGGAGAGGGGGAGAGGGGGAGAGAAGGATTTGGAAGTTCTATGAAGTCTCTGAAAACGCACCCGCAAGCTTGAGAAAACCGCACGATCCACCTCAAAACCGACGAGATTCAAAACTCCGGCATAAACGCCGTTCAAAACATCCTCCGCAGAAAAGGATAGGGACACGTTTGTAACCCTATCCTCTTGGGTTGGGCTTACATTATTGTATCTGACTAGTACCTAGTACTAGTAGTAAACTGCTGAGAGGGTCTATGTCCCCCCGCGGGGTACGCGGAACGTACCCCTGGTACGGTCCGGTATATCCTACATCTGGCGCCCGAAATGAGTCCAACATATGCTATCGTGAACGACGGAACGGATTGTCTATCATACAAAGCCTGACACCCTTCAAAAGTACAAAAAACGCGAGTGGCTGGAGGTACGTAGCCGTTTCGTCGAGCATCAAGGCCCTTTTTTTGCCGTTACGGGTTACGAGTTATGGGTTTAGGATTTTAGGTTAGGGTTTTAGGGTTCTATGACTCATTATCTGAAACTCTCACAAAAATCGTGAATATTTATTTCCCAGGCGTTATTTGAAATCTAGCGCCACCCGATCTTACACCACTTTGGGTACACGAGTCCCACCTGCAAATAGACAGCTAACGCCTTAACCGCAAACACACTGTAGCAAACGAAGTCCCTGCACAACAAAGCAGACGCCTGTAAAGAGAGGAAGGCAACCGCCTACAGACAAACCTTGCTAGCACGAGTCCACACGCTGCAAAACGACAAGCAGAACCGCTAAGCAACACCTTGTAAGAACACGAGTCCCACTGCAACTACAAGCAGAACGCTCAGCACACACTTGAAGCCCAGAGTCCACTGCTCAACAACAAGCAGAGACCGCCTGTAAGAGAGACACCAGGGCCGCACCGGACCCGGCGGCCGGGCACACCCTCCCCCACGCCCCCCGCCCCCAACCACTACAGCACTAACACTTGTAGCTACGAGTCCACCTGCACGACAAGTCAGACGCCTTCAGCACAAACACTTGTACACGATCGTCCATCCTGCAACGACGAGCGAAAGCAACGCCTCAGCACAACAGCTTGTGCACGATTACCACCTGCAACGAAAGCCCAGACGCCATTCATACGCACCCCATCCTGTTCTTACCGAGTTAAGAGACAGACCTGCCAACGACAACAGAATATGAAAGCCCCGAGCCTTACAGCACAACTGACTCTTTCTGAGCACGGTCAACCTCAACGACGATAGGCCAACACGCCCATAACAGCAACACAGCTAGCCTCAGAGAACACCGTTGTTTGCACCCCGAGTCCCCAACCTGCAAGATCGAAGCATGTACCGCCTTCACACACAACACTTAGTTACAACGAAGCTGCCTACCTGCAGAACACAGCCAAAACAGAGCCCTTCAGCAGTCAACTTGCAGCACGAGTCACCATTCATGCAACGACTATAGAGGCCACACAACCCGTATCCCCAGCACACACTTAGTGACAAACAGAATCCAGCACTGCAAAACGACAACGTCAAAGCACCGCCCATTCTAGCACCCACCCGTACATGCGCAGTACCCACTCTATGCCAACAACAAAGCAGGACACTCGCATATTAACAAGCACACACTTTGCTCTTAAGTACTACGAAAGTCCTAACCCATGCAAATCCAAACCAAAAAATAGACAATATTAAACTCTCAAGAGTTAAAAGACAACAAAACGCTTTAAGCAACACATTATTGACAAACCTTGGTAGAGGCACAAGGCTCTGTGTGATCACCCAAACCAGCCGGTTTAACTACCTTCCTACACTAGATACATAAAATAGTACAACAATACTGTACACTTGACCACACACGTTAACGTGCGTACAATCTAATTCCAAAATCAAGTTGTTGGCGGCACTAGCTACGTGCTAACTAAAAAAATTGCTCTATGTAAACCAACCACTAAGTGACCTGCCTATGATACTCGAGAGAGTATGCATCACTCCACGGGTACAAAGGTAATAGTGCAGGGCCACCGATTGTTTTAAAGTCACGTGGGCATATGGTTCGTATATAAAAAGAGCGAGAATACTACAGAAAACCTCATGAGTAATGTGATTACTTCACTGAACCTAAAAAATTACCGATTCCTTATGACTACATGATTCCAAAAGTGAATTTTATGGACAAGTAAAATCAAAATCGGACAAAGTAAAAAATTCTGCTTCTTGCGGCCCCGAAAGACAACCAGAATTAAAATGGAAAGTGTCAAATGAATGTAAGCTCACCACAAAAAGCAACTCCACTCACAATAAGCATTCTGCATAAATATACAAGAGTCAGTTTTATTGAAGCCAATCCCAAATTCTTACAGACATTATAGAAAACAACCTGCCATCTTATATCGCAATACGTACTTTAAAATAATATCCGGATATAAAATGAATCCTAATTGTGTGACCCACAAGTAGAGAGAATCTGGCGACTATAAACCGCCTTTTGTCACCGATGGCATTGCCGCAAATAAAATAGGTTTGATGCGGAGCCGTTACAACATGTTTGTAAATCTTACTCGCCTAAAATAGACATGCGCTTTGAGCTACGCAGGGTGGAGAGAGAATACCCAATTTGACATATAAAGATATATCAAAAGAAATCTTGTATAAAACAACTAATATCGAAGTGTGACACCCAGACTATTAAATGTGAAAATAAAAGAATATATGCTAAGTATGATTGACCCTGAAAGAAATCATCTACCTAAATTTGCATAAATTTTGTTGTTCTAAATATCTAAAAACCACAGCACCCCTAAGCCTTATTCATGTCACATACGCAAAAAATAGCAAATCCGTTGAAACCTGAAACTGACTAATGGACAATCCCCATTTTCCAAAAAATGCCGTGGCTCAAAAGTACCTCAATGGCGTGCTCCCAAAATAGACGTTTAATATGGGAGGCACTATGCCAAGTAACAACTATAAAAAGCCACACAAAGTTCAAAACATGTGTATGGGAACGCCAAACGGTTCCTATGTTCAGAGTTAATCATTGACCGTAGGCGAAACTGTGACGGAGGGACAGACGGAGAACGAGACGACCAGACGGACGTACGACGACCCATGGCAATAACTCAGCTTGACGAATGTCAAAGGTTGAGCTAAATTAATAAGAGTTAAGGGCTGTACCTTCGCCAAAGAACAGTGAGCTTTGGTTGGCTGAGGAAACGCCAGTTCTCATAGAGATGCCGGTTTGTCTGTTGTGCTTGATGGAAATATTCTCTCCTGTGCAATGAGAAAATAAACAAGCACATAATATGAGAAATGTCATGAGTTCGGAACAGAAACCCGAGCCTAAACTTTAAACTTCATCTGAATCTCAAAATTCTAATCTTGAACGTAACCACAATCAAACCCTTATCTCCAAGCTCTACTGTTAATGGGCCTAAAACGTAACCACTATCATCCTTCTTTTGCATGCATCCACTGCAAGTTGAAGGAAAAGAAAGCAAGACTATGGTAGTGTGGGAAAGAAGCCATGCAAGCAAGATATTAAATCAAAGAGCAATGCACAGCACCACAACCTAACGCTGATTAAGCCCAATACAAGGACATCTACTGCACATAACCCTAGCACAAGATGCACTTCTCTTACACCTACCTGACGCACTACGAGCCACTTCTCATCACTCCCCTGAGCAGCAGAGCAACTCTCACGACCTACCCTAGCAGCACGAGCCACTTCTCACACCTACCCTGAGCAGCAGAGCCACTTCTAACACCTACCCTGCACAGCCAGAACACTTCCCTTACACATACCTGCAGAGCAGAGTCCTTCTAACACCCTACCCTGCGAGCAAGTCACTCTAAACCTACCCTGAGCAGCAGAGCTACTTCTCAACACCTACCCTGAACAGAGAACCCACTTCCACCTACCCCTGAGCAGTCAGAGCCCAGATTTCACACCTAAAACCTAAGCAGCAGCGCCACTTCTCACAAAATGGTACTGGAAATTTGTAAAAGCATTAGATGAATGTTCTACTCAGGATGTTTGGGTGGCTTTCCCTTAAAGTCGCAAAGAAGTCCAACTTATACCTAAAACACTCATAGCTGAGAGCAGTATGAGCACCAACGAGGATCCCCACCTGAGTCGAACACGTGTGATATGTTACAGTGATGTCTATCACTCTTATTGTAGAGCCCATTGACATTAATGGATGAGTACAGTTATTAGTGTCCAAGCACACGCGGGCCCGCGCGTAGGGCATCTCCCGGCACGGCTCCGTGTCCCCACCACAGGGCCAGGGGCGGTTCCACACCAGGAGCTCAGGCTCACCACGATGCTGGGTGCTCCACACTCTGATAGCCTGGCAAGAGAAAACGAGAGGGAGAGGGTGAGAAGAGAGAGGGAGAGGGAGAGGGAAGAAAGACCCACACGTGTCCACCAGCACGTGCGTGAAGCTGAGCTGGGTGGACACCGTGTGGGT